TACGCTGACAAGCGCACATGCCAAGTTCAGGCAGCGACCAGAGAGAGGGGACGAGAGAGCAGGGACGGCTGCTGCCATCCCACGTCGCCTTGAGGGCAGCCGAGCAGAAAATGAAAACCAGGCCATCGCAGCTTCAGCTCTGAAAATGGAGACTCCGTTGTTTGTTTGCAGAAACATATTATAAAATCTGACTCCCAAATAATTTTTAAATTCTTGGGAAGAACAGAATTGGCTCTCCATCTCAAACGTTTGCCAACCCCTGGGCTGGTCAGGGAGAACCTTTCTGCTCAGAGGGAGTTCTTCTTCTTAAAAGTCCTAGGCTTCCCACCACCGAGGCGAGACTGTGGCAAGGCAGGAGCACCGTCAGCGGAGTCACAGACAGATGGCTTCATCAAGGTTTCTGTCAACAATATGACGTCATAGCCATCTCTCGATACTTCAAAACAGGACAACGTGGGCTTTAGGAACTGGGGAACGCTTGCTATTAGTCTATGGGAAAAATTTTTACATGATCATTAAACATGATTAATGGGACACTTACAACAGGATGCAGTGGCCCTGGGGATAGGATCCTGACACATTAATCTCATTTCCTTTTTCCATGGGGTTATCAGATTAATGGATTGAGGGAAATTGTGGTCATAGCACATCTTGATTTTAAGACCCTTAACCAAGCAACATCCCCGTGAATAAGATAACTTTGAAACAGGCTGCAGAGATGGTGTAGCAGTTATATAATCTATGGGCAACTTGAGGGAATGGGTGTCGTCTAGCCTATCAATCAGGTCATAGCCAAAGGTGCCTCTGTGTGGGCATGGCCTTCTCCTGAGGACTCTGGGAACTCCTGTCTTTCTCCCAGGAGGTAGGAAACACATTCTCCCTGTTGACAAGCCACATGAAGCTACACTGATGGAGCCAGAGCCTTGGATCTGGAGGAGCCACGTGGAGACCCACACCAATACTGAGATGCTTCCACTGCCACTGGATCCACAAGACTTTCCACCCATTGGCCTGTGATCTTCCTGTATTCGGCATCATTGCATGGCTGCGTGAACTTAAAGAGGAATTTATAGACTGGTATCGAACATATGGGCTAATATCACACTTATGGACATGATCTGGGCTAGAATGTTTTCTTAATAAACAATTACTCTCTATATAAAGCTCTTTCTATACACACATGAGTGTCTATGGATTTCTCTAGTCAACCCAGACAAACACAGATGGATTTAAAGAAGACTAATTAGTGAGTTAATACTGCCCCGCAGGAAGGTCCTATTGGTGAATGCTCATTTCCTCTTTGTTCATCTTACTGAGTGGCTGAGTATTTGGCTCAAATGCTCCCACTATTGTTTGGGGGTCAAATCCCCCCATTATTACAGTGGTCACGGCCAGTTCTAGTTGGCTTCTTCGAGTGGATCCCAACTCCAGAGGGCAAGGGAGAGAGGAGGGAAAAGAAGAGGGAGAGGGAAGGAGATGCAGAGTGAGAGAGAGGGAAGGTGTGTGTCAGAGTAAGACTGGGCTCCACGTTTTCAAGGACTGGCTTTTGGGGAAACCAATCTCAAGGACTTTCTTCGGAGGTACTGCTGGGTGAACTCAACCCTCCAACCTTTCGGAGAGCAGCCGAGAGCCAAGCTAACTATGTGCATCATCGAGGGACTTCACGCCTCACAATGTCCCCACTAACCCTCACTGACTCCAAGTCAGAGGGATTCTACAAGAGAGAGTAGACCTGCCACTTGGGTTTCTAAGATCATAAATCTCTAACAGAGGACAAGGCCTCATCTACTATGGAGCGGCTGGTGAGCTTGAACCACTGACCTTGCAGGTAGCAGCCCAGTGCTTTTAACCCACTGCCACCACGGCCCCTTCGTTTCTCTGCTGATTTCAGTGTCCTCTGCTCTGATCAGAAAAGGCCACTCTGCAGGGAAACTTACAAAATAGACTCCCTTTCCTTAGTGAACCTTAATGTCCTGTCTCTACAATGGTGGAGACAGTATCAAAATCATAAGGTTGTCATGAGAGTTAAATGAAATGTATCTAGTAGGTGCCTCAGAATGGCAGAGTAAA